AATATAATTTCCACAAAGAAATTAGTAAACATTTTATCCTCTTTTTCATATCCCTAAACTTTAAAAGCACTTAAATAAATACACTTAAAAAGTATTAATTTATTGAAATTTATTCATTGAGAATGTTTTTGCATAGTTTATGACAAGGACATAAAACAGCACCAGAGCACTTGAACAAGGAGTATTGAGTAGCCAGTTCATTTTAAAATTTAGTTATGCAGCACAATTAAAGAACAGAGTTATTCAAGTAACCCTATAATGCCATGGAGTTACATAGAAAAGAAAAGGTTGTATTAGTTTTGTAAATATGTTTTTAAAAGTTCAAAGTAATTGTAAAAAAGTATTTCTGGATGAAATTATACGTCCAGGATTTGCCTTAAAAATAACCCAAAAGTGGAAGAGTCAGTAGGGATAGAAAGAAACAAGAGTAATCATTTTTTCATAACTGTTGAGGCTGGGTGATGCATATGTTCATGATAGTTCATAATTGTATATTCTCTCTCTCATATAAATTTGAAAATTTGTATAGGTTTAAGAAATAACAAAAATGTTTTCTTCTCTCTTTAAGGCTAAATAGTACTTTTTAAAAAATACCTGGCTGGTGTAGCTCAGTGGATTGAGCGTGGGCCTGCGAACCAGACAATCACGGTTCAATTCCCAGTCAGGGCACATCCCTGGGTTGCAGGCCAGTTCCCAGCAGGGGACGCACGAAAGGCAACCATACATTGATGTTTCTCTCTCTCTCTCTTTCCCTTCCCCTCTAAAGATAAATAAAAATTTTAAAAATACACCTTTAAAAAAATAAAAATAAAAATAAACAAAGCTTATAGGAAAGAACAAACTATAACCGCATTACTAAAATGTTCGGGACCAAATGAAAATCAGGGTCTTCTTTTAATACATTCACTAATGAATTCAGTAGATTCAGTCATCAAATCCCAATCTTTAAGAACAGCACAAATTGGATTAGTAAGTAGCTATCACTACAATCAACCCTTAATTAACCCTTAATTAACTTGACTGTTCCCTATATCCTTCCTTTAAGAAAAAGACATTTTAGTGATTATGCTCCTTATTTATCAGTAAAATGGTATCAACCAGAACAGAAAAATGTTGGCAAAATGTCTTTTTTGCTATTCATTCTTTTCCAATAAAGTAAGTACTAAATAGGGAACACATTCAATAACACTGTAACGACTACACGTGGTGTCAGGCAGGTGCTAGACTTACGGGCGACCACTTCACAAGGTGTGTAAATGTCTAACCACTATGCTGTGCACCTGAAACTAAGATAATATTAAGTGCCATCTGTAACTGAAAAATAAAAAAATTTAATGTTCTAAGGAAGAAAGACAAATGGTCTAGATACGCCTTAAAACAGATTTTAATTGCCTTCATTTACCACAAAAAGAATGGTGTATCAGGTTTAAACACTTGAGAGTTTCAGATTTAACAAAAGTTATTTTACTATTCATTCTAACTCATGAAACAGCGATCTTATCCCCACACGGGTCCCCTGGGATAAGGACAGTTAACCCAGAACACACATAAATATGTCCATCGCCAAAAACAGTTTCTCCTCTTAATGTGAGTTTCACTCTGCAGTTCCCTAGTTGGTTTCACTGCATTCGGAATTCCATAAATAACCTAAATGAATTTCAAGTCACCACAGTCTGGAAAACCCTGGATTACCCCCTCTCTGAGGTCTCTTCTAATTGACATTTTGGTATTCTAACATTAACTACAACGTACATCATCTTTGTCCCAAATAGAAACCAAAACAGGGTCAGAGAAGAAATCTAAAATCCTACAGCTAAAATATTTTTACAGTAATAAGAAAACTGTAAGATTATATAATGCTTTTAACATAATTAAAAGCTTAAATTGATCTGTTAAGTTTTATTTTCAGAACTCTAATACCTCAATGGCTAATCTACAGAGTCCAGTAGTCAAAGAAGCTCTATCTCCAAATCAAAGTGAATAACTCCTATTAGACTCCTAGGAATGGAGAAAATCGACAGATGACCAAGCCCAGTTGGCAACTCCAAATACCAAGGATTAGCAAAACAAGAAACATTCAGAAAACTTTTGGTGCATGAAGTAAACTAAAATAGCATTTACAAATGTTAAATACAAAAGTTCTATTTCTAAATGCCACAGTATTCAATGCACATGATTCAACTGTTAGCCAAAAAATCAAGTTTATAATTATCCTCATTGTAGTTAAGTCTATTTATTAAATGGATATGTTAAATATAATTTAATAGAAAGGACATTTTCCTCCCTCAACATAAATATTTTTAAAATTGCATATTAATCATATTGCTTTTTAATTGTAATTGCATATTTTAAAAACCTGTATGCTTCACAAATCATATAGTCTTCACATCAGAGGAACTAAAAATTTTCATGAGGTCATTTTTATAGCTACAGAAAAGAGAACAGGCTTCTATTGCAATAGTTAAAGCATGATCTCCATGATAATTCCAAGATATGTGTACTGTTTATGCAAATTACTGTTTTTAGAAATAAATTAGAATAGCCTTACTATCAAAGTTTCTACTTGTTTATTCCTAAAAAACAAACAAACAAAATAAAACCTCACCTCATTTCTTTTTCCTGAGCCTGACTATGAGGTCCCTTGATATTAGTCTCCAATATGTTTAACCCTATGTCCCTAAGAGTCAACACAGTCTACCAAAATTAAGTTTCTCATGAAAAAGAGTTTGGAGGAGCTCACATCATAATTCTTCAGAATAAACTAAGGAAATGATTTTTAATTAACATTTATTTTTGTATTTATATAATTAAATTTCTTTTTCCTTTTTATTGAATTTCTTGGAATGACATCAGTTAACAAAATTATAACAAAACTTAAAAACTGGTTCCAAAAAGATATGCACAACAAAGGAAAATTTTCTTTTTGAAAATTATGGTTAAAAAGTTTCTGCACAGCTAAAGCAGCCATCAGCAAAATGAAAAGGTAACCCACTGTATGGAACAACATATCTGGCAATAATACATCAGTCAAGGGTTTAATCTCCAAAATATATAAAGAACTCATGTGACTCAACACCAGGAGGACAAACCACCCAATTAAAAAATGGGCAAAGAACCTCAACAGACATTTTTCCAAGGAGGACAGACCAATGGCCAATGGACATATGAAAAAATGCTCAATGTCACTAGCCATCAGAGAAATGCAAATTAAAACCACTATGGGATATCACCTCACACCTGCCACAATGGCCATCATTGATACATCAACAAACAAGTGCTGACAAGGATGTGGAAAAAAAGGAACCATGATACACTGTTGGTGGGAATGCAGACTGGTGCAGCCACTGGGGAAAACAGTATGGAGTTACCTTAAAAAATGAAAAAAGGAACTACCTTTGGACCTAGTGATTCCATTGCTGGGAATATACCTGAAGAATCCCAAAACACCAATTCAAAAGAACTTATACACCCCCATGTTCACAGCAGAGCTATTTACCACAGCCAAGATTTGGAAACAGCCTAAGTGCCCATTAATAGATGAATGGATAAAAAAACTGTTGTATATCAACACAATGGAATTCTATACAGAAGAAAGAAAGAACTCCTACCTTTTGCAACAGCATGGATGGAAATGGAAACTATTATGCTAAGTGAAATAAGTGAGGCGGTGAAGACAAATACTGTATCATCTCACCTGTGAAAGTAATCTAATGAACACAATAAAGTAGTAAGCAAAATAGAATCACAGTAAGGGAAACATGGAAGAGACTGACAGCGATCAGAAGGGGGAGAGGGGGATAATAATGGAAAGAAGGGGAAGGGACCAGTCAAACAACAAGTATGAATGACCCACAGATATGAACAACAATGTGGGGACTGCCTGTGGGAGCACGGGGTGGGCTGGGCGGAGAAGGGCAAATGGGGAAAAATTTGGACAACTGTAACAGATTAACTTTTAAAAAAATTATTGTGATTTTTATTATTATTGTTACACAGAGAAATCTAGTAATCCTTTTAGGGGCTAGTTAACAGTCTACATATAGCAGTGACAAGTTTTTTTTTATGGTTTCTTTTGGAAAAATATTTTCTTAATTTCAACCAATACTACCTAGTCGAAAGTTTCCAAAGATGCATAGAAATTAACTTTAAGACCATGACTGACATGTTTACATTTGCAACACTGTAGTTTCATAGACCTCTTTACATCCTAAAAATACCATAGTATGGCCCAAAATCAATGTAACTGGTTTGGAACACATTTAGGATAAATTGTAGACTTCTGGTCAAGAGGGCGGCATTGGTAAACACAGCTGGCCTCCTCACACAACCACATCAAAATTACAACTAAACTACAGAACAACCATCACTCAGAACCGTCAGAAAGCAGGCTGAATGGAGGTCCGACAACTACAAAATTAAAGGATAAATTGTATCTGTTTAAAGTATCAAATTCTCTTAAAATTCATTAGCATGTAGAGATTTACCTTCTGTTAGTTGGTATGCAAAAATAATTCTGATATTAACATTAACATGTTCATTCTAGAAGTTTTACCCCAATAACTTGCTTTCTTTTGTGAAAGCATACAGTGAGATCACCTCTAAGACTAGAAAAGCTTATCAAAGAAGGAAATTATTTTTTTTTAATTATAACCCTCAAGAATATACAGGAAAATGGAAACCAGGTTAACAGAGAGGGCCTTTCAGTGAATGTTATTAAAAAATAAGAAGAGATTTATAATAACAGGTATAGTGTTTCACTGTAAAATGATCTGTACTGTGATTAGCTCAGTAGCCCTTTTTCTACACAGATAAAGGAAATGTTCATTCTAGCCTATCTAGGCAACTACAAATTATTAAATGATGTTAACAGAAACAGTTTAAAAGTCTGACCTGGAATTTTCACTTAGGGTTGTTAACTTTGCAAGATTTATCCAAAGCCCCAAAAAACTTTCCATGTTTACATATTTTACTTAATCATGATGGTGGAATTGAATTTGTACCTATGTGAAAATGGCAATGCATTCTGAGTTGGTTCAGCCCTTGACTCTGAGTTCTGTGCCACATCAGGTGTCCTTTCATCGTCTGTTCCGTTGATACTTTCCGGTGTTAGAGGGGACTGAAGGTCTCCGCCTGCTGATTCCTTAAAAACAAGGGGGGGATAAAAAGTGTCATACTTTATTAAAATACATAAGATCATCTTAAAGTTAAAACTGACTCTGATATATGCTTACTTATGAACCATATTTCAACTTAAATTAGAATCAATGACTTAAAAAATAAAATTAGAAGGAGAAATAATTTTTAAAGCAGAGCAAACTCTTGAAACATAACACAATTTAGAAACATAGTTTTAAAGAACTGAAACACTTTTGGGTTTACACAAGCAACTAATTGGTTAAAATAAAAGATATTAAGAAATTACTTGAGAAGAAAAGAAGATGGCACAAAAATGCAAGATGTGATTTTATTTGGATGGGTAGAAAGAAAAAGGGGAGAGGGAAATCTTCCAACAAGTTTCAATTTTTTTATCTGCCCTACTTTTCAATTCCTAGAATTATTTAGAAATGCAATCAGAAATATGTCTATAACATATACATAATGATTGTAGTGTATTTCAGCTTTTGTTGCCTGCTACTCAAAATGGATTTATATTTTGTCACAAAATTTCCTCTTATTTCTACTTTAATTAAGATTTTTGTTCAAGGTAAATTTGATTTATTCCTCTAGAAAATAATAGGATTTCAAATCAAGCTCAAGCTGACATTTATTCTTGCATCTGCCATTATCAGATTATCCAAACTTGACATTAAAAATGGGAATGAGGGGTCATTTGATAAACCTGTTGCCCAGCTGGGGTCCTAGTACCAGAGAGTACACAGCAGCGTGGTGGACTCCTTGTGATCTTGGAGCAGCCCAGTTTTACACTGGAAATATTAGGCTACCAACATGTTAGGGAAGAAAATGAAATATCAGTAGGGATCTGGTTAGGTATGGCCACAATTTGCCAACTTAGAAGAATACAAGATTTCCTCAAATTAAAAAAAGGAGAATATGTACAATACAGAAAAATGCTTATAATTAGAAAAACATGAGAATATAAGGAGATACCTAGGTTATGATAATTTATATACTTTACATAACAATACTGCACATGGAAAAAGTGCTGGAACAAATATGGGAAACGTCAATTTGGTGAGACTGACTTTCTTTGCGGGGTTTCTGGTTTTCTACTACTGTATATATTTTATTTCACATGTGAATAATCTTAACTAATAATACTATGATGCCATAAACTATATAAGCTGTCAAAGATTGAAAAATGACTCTGATTCCATGTTATTGCTTACCTATTTTTCAATTATTAATGGAACCTCTATTTCAATCTTTAATGTCACTCATGAAATCTCTCTCCGAAATCCTCTATTTCCATGTTAATAGACGGATAAAGTGTAGGTATAACCCGACAACACAAGTTGTTTTACAACAAAGTCAAATTCTACTAAGTGAACAATGAGAACAGTATCTAAAGTGACTCTTTCTAGGTCAATTTTGGACCGTATCAATTAGCAGAAAAAGTAAACATGCCTAAACAAAGCATAGGTAAACATGCTTTGTCTCCTGGCACGACCACAGAAAGAATTAGAACTAGACCTCAAAACAAACACCCAGGAATGCCAGAAAATCAAACTTCATGAAAGTTTGACGATCAAGGATTTAGAGAAGCCACATTCACCCAGACAGGTAGGAGGGGCAGAGACATGGAGACTGGTGGAAAGGCTCGGACACAGGGTGTGGCGCGGAGAGGCAGCAGCAGTGGCAGCAGAAGGAGCGGTCCCACATTCCCGTGTGGCAGATAAAACTTGGGAGGGCTACCTTGGGAGCAAGAGATCTCAGCCCCAGGCCAGACACACAGCCCAGGGTTCTAGCACCAGGAGGATAATCCCTGTAACTTCTGGCTGTAAAAACCAGTGGGGGTAGGGGTGGTAAAAGAACTGCTGGATTTTCAGGACATTCCACTTAAAGTGTCCTCACAGACTTAAAATGTACACAGGTCCATCCTCTGTGCGATTCAACACCAGGGCAACAGATGGAAGGGCTCTAGTAACACATGGCAAGTGCCGGGCAAACCTCCAGAAGCCTGGCAGCAGCCTCGCTCCCTCTCCAATCCCTCACCCCACACAGAGCCACAAAGGGGTAAAGAGGGTTGCCTCACCCTTGCAGTTAATAAGGCTCTGCTCCACACAATTTACAGGTGCCTTTTCCACAATAGGCCACACTACTAAGGGAGTCAAAGCAGCTCTACCTAATACACAGAAACAAGCACAGGGAGGCTGCTACATTGCAGAGACAAAGAAATATGGTGCAAATGACAGAACTGAACAAAACCCCAGAGAAAGAACTAAGCAAAATGGAGACAGCCAACCTATCAGAGGCTGAGTTTGAAACACTGATTATCAGGATGCGCAGAGAACTCCTTGGGTATGGTGGGGAAAAAAGGAAGAAATGAAGGGTTATACTAAGTAAAATAAAGAATAATCCACAGGAAACTGACAGAGAAGGGAAGGAAGTTAGAAACCAAGGATTTGGAACATAAGGAAGAGATAAACATTTAACCAGAATAAAAAGAAGAAACAATAATTCAAAAAAATGAAGATAGGCTTAGGAACCTCTGGGACATCTTCAAATGTGCCAACATCCAAATCACAGGAATGCCAGAAGGAGGAGGAGAAGAGCATAAAATTGAAAACACATTTGAAAAACTAATGAAAGAGAACTTCCCTAATTTGCAAAAGGAAATAGACATACAAGCCCAGGGAGAACAAAGAGTCCCAAATAAGTTGGACCCAAAAAGGACCACACCAAGACACATTATAATTAAAATGCCAAAGGTTAAAGATTAATAGAGAACCTTAAAAGGAGCAAAAGAAAAACAAAGAGTTTTCTACAAAGAGGTTCATATAAGACTAACAGCTGATTTCCCAAAAGAAACTTTGCAGGTAAGAAGGGACTGCCAAGTATTCAATGTGATGAAAAACAAGGACCTACAACACAAATTACTCTGTCCAGCAAGGCTATTATTTAGAATGGAAAGGCAGATAAAGTGCTTCCCAGACAAGGTAAAGCTAAAAGAATTCATCATCACCAAGCCATTGTTACATGAAATGTTAAAGAGACTTATTTAAGAAAAAGAAGATCAAAATTATGGACATTAAAATGGCAACAAATTCATAACTATCAACAACTGAATCTAAAAAAAGTAAACTAAGCAAACAACCAGAATAGAAACAGAATCATAGATATGGAGATCATTTGGAAGGTTATCAGCTGGAAGTGGGTGAAGAATGGAGGAAAGGGTGCAGGAATTAAAAAGCATAAGTGGTAGGTACAAAATACACTGGGGCGGGGGGTGTTAAGAATAGTATAGGAAATGGAAAAGCCAAAGAACCCACATGCATGACCGATGGACATGAACTAAGGAGGGTACTGCTAAAGGAAATGGGGGTACTGGGTGGAGGGGGCAAAGGGGAAAAACTGGAACAACTGTAATAGCATAATCAATAAAATACATTTTAAAAAAGATTTTATTTATTTATCTTTAGAGAGGAAGGGAGGGAGACGGGAAGAGAAATATCAATGTGTGGTTGCCTCTCATGCATCCCCTGCTGGGAGCTGGCCTGCAACCCAGGCATGTGCCCTGACTGGGAATCGAACTTCGATCCTTTGATTTGCAGGCCTGCGGCTCAATCCACTGAGCTATGCCAGCCAGGGCAATAAAATACATTTTTAAAAAAGAGATTTCTAAGTTAATACAGTTAGCCATTTTTATAGTAAATTTTTAAGGAAAAACATTATGAAATAATATCTCCTTTGACATGTATATATACCTATGCAAATATACACTAAAATTGATATGAAAAAACTAAAATATAAAACATAACTACAAATTGAAATTTAATGACCTTCTATCATCTTTACAATCTTATTTTCGGAAATAAAAACACTCACATCTCACTTTGTTTTGGGAAAACTTCCCCTACATCCCATACCAAAATAAATAATTTGAGAAAGAAAAATTACAGTCAAGTGAATTTCTGTATTAATATTTAAGAGAGAGAGCATGAGGGAAGCCAAGACTTAGAGACGTGACCATGTCATTAAAAAGGAGCCCGAGCACAGAGGCGAGATGTGGGAAGTGCCACACCTTAAGAATTATCTCTTCCTTTCCATTCGTGAAATAGCAAGAAAGCCTCCCACCCATCAAACAAACAAACAAAAAAACCCTTAGAAATATCCTGAATTACAATGAAAAGAAATGACCTTGGCCTTCATGCCAGGCCAGGCCTTCAGGGTGGTATCATCAACCTGTTCTAGGGTAAATGATGGGGTAGCCCCCCAAAACCCAGAATTTTTTTTATTAAAAACTGTGTACTTATTCTTACATGTTCAAACTTCAGTCACCTTCAAAGTACTCTCCATTTGATGCAATACATCTATTGAGACATTTTTCCAAGCTCAAAACAGTTTTCGAACTTGTCCATTTTGAGGCCTTTTAGTGTTTTTGCTGTTTTTTTGTTTCACCTCTTCCACATGAGCACAACATTTCCCTTTGAGGACTTTTTTCATCCAGGGCAACAACAAAAAAAAGTCACTTGGAATAACACAGGGTGAATAGGGAGGGTGGGGCATTGGAGGTCATGCCTTTTTTTGGTCAAAAACTGCTAAACACTCAGCACAGTGTGGGCAGGTGCACTCGCGTAAATCACCCATCGTGAAATGGGCAAAAGCACTGAAAAAGTCTTCAAAATAATTCATGGAAACCAAATGCAGCCTCTTACAACGCAAGCTGGTACACTGATACAGATGGATTCCTAGAACTCTCACCTAGCAGGGAAGCCTGTCCTACCAGGGACCCCCCTCATATGTGCTACAGCAGGACAATGGGGTGACGAAGGAGGGATGTGGCAGCGCTGACCACCTCCAGTGGGCCAAACACCACCAACACCTTCCATTTAATTGCAGTGAAGCCTGAAATTCAAATTCCTGCTAGCTTCATCCTTTTGGACTTACGTAAAACATTCTTGCAAGATTCACTCTATTTTATAATCTTTTATATTTAAGTGAAGATGAGAACACCACTGT